ATGTAAAATTGATGTTTTCTCTCTCTAACAAGCATAACAACATCTTCTTTATTCAGTGCTTTCACTGCGGAGAAGAAAATCATTAGGCTATGTCATGTTATTACAAAGATATACCATATACCAATGGGCTATTTACAAAATACGATCTTATACAAATCTCAACAAGCAAGGAGTTTCAAATGCAGATTTTTAAGATGCAGAGGTCAACGTGAGTGCCAGACATTTACATGGATAGGTTCACCCAATGAAAAACAAATACCAACACAAACATCAACCTCTGAAACAACCCTAAGATTGAAGGAGCGAGCAACAAGCAACACGAGTCCAAATGGTATTGTTAAAGTGACTGTAGAAGAATGGGAAAAAAAGTAACATATGAGGAACAAATATTTGATGTAATTGAGAAGTGATATATTGAGCAAAAACACTCCAACTACTATACATCTTCCAGTTATATTTTCTCTAATTCTAGCAAAAATACAGAGCTCCATCGAATTCCAACAACTTTTTCAACACCTCTTCTAGCAACCCTTTCAACACCTCTTCTAGCAACCCTTCCTCCTGTTCCATAAGCTATTCAAAAACCTGTAGCACCACCACTAGTATTGGCGCCTCCTATATTTGGACCTCCTTGGCACATCCTCTTGTTGTGGTTAAAAGATAGACATTTACCACACCTTTTCATATTCTTGAGTTGAGTTTCATTCTCATCATGACCCTTTATTATGTTGTGTTTAGGCCTTCGAGGTGTCCTTGAATCGAGAGTGTAGGTGACAATATAAATTCATTTCCCTGCACACAATAAAGATGGTGTCATTTAATTTCCAACAACCTATTGTAAATACAGTATATTCACTTAATATTATCACTAACACTACCTCTAGCCAATCACTTTTATTTTCTCATAATAAAAGTGCTTTCCAAGACTATAAAGTGTTATTCATGCATAAACATATTGCAATCATGTGTGTCTAAGTGTTAAGGTAATAGAAATTTGCCCCGCTCCTCATAATGTTTTTGTTTTCGAGAACTAGAAGCGGGGTATATACCCTCCACGCCCTAGGTCCTCCGGCTCATATGATCCAATTTTTGTAAATATCTAAAATTCAAACAAGATCTTTATAGAACCTTTTTCAAAAATATTATTGAAATAAAATTTATTTCCAAAAAAGACTACAAGTTTTAGAGTACTATAATATAGTGTCTGGTTTCTTACGTATGTATAAAAGTTCAACATAAGTAAATGGGGAGTAAATGTGGTTAAAGTTACTATTATAGTCATTATACTTTATAGATCACATTTTTTTAAATAACCTATGATGTAGAGATAAATATACCATTATTTCATCTTTATAATTATTTTTAAATAATCATATTATGGTCATCTTATCCATTTTATGAAAAAGATGAAAAATATAAATTATTATTTTAAACGAAGTTAAGGGGGCGTATTGAATATGAATTGAGGTGATTTTTTTATTCCATGGACTCTTAAAAAGTCTATGAACTTTTAAATTTATAGACTTTTTTATAAATGAATTATATTGACTTTTAAATTCATGGATAAGTTTAAAGACTTTCAAAAAGTACATAGACTTTTAAATCCGGACCTTCGCTGCCGGACGTTGAAATTTTCATCCAGATCGCTGCTGCTGATTTGCATGAATCTCACTGTCGCCCGCCTCCGTCACCGGACTAATCCTTCACCAACAAAATGATTTCGGTTATGCAAGGGAACCAGGGGAGGAAAAATGTAATGTTTAGTCCTAGTTAAGGAAAAATTAAACATATGATCAACTTTGGGAAGAATATAATGCTCTATTTTAGTCCTACTATGAATAATTTCTTCTGTATAATATGATAAGAAACAATTAAATAAAAAAATGAAACAAATGTAGTTCATCTAGCAACGCAGAGTTCTACAAGAATAAATGAAGCGTAAACAATCACATTTATTTTTATTAACAAGAAAACTCAAAGTTTCGAGAATGCCCAACAAATTCAGTCTCTTTATGATCATTTGTTATATTACTCAACTCAACGAGTAAGAAAACTAATTTTTACACAAGTGTTACACACATTGCTATGTGCGCTACGAGCATACTAATAATTGTGCAATCGAGCATTTCTTCTTAATATTTGTTTTCTTTCCATTTCTAGCTTGTTAATTTTTGTTTGCTTATTTACGGTTAAACATTTATTAATTTAAAATTTTATTTTTATGTGTTAGTGGTTTATCAATGAAATACATTAATAGTTAAAATATTTTTTCTTAATGGTTAACTGACAACATACTAGAATTGCACTGATATAATACTATGGATTCTCATATCAGTTCTTCTAAAATCTTATAGAACCGAATCGATACTGGATTAATGGTTCTTCAAATGGTCCCTAATTTAAAAACTGAACCGATCTCATCCCTATAGTTTTCGTCGTAACAATATACTTCCTCGGTTCTTTAATTCTTGCAACATTGTGATTTTTGCACTATTCACAGACCCTATTTTGACCACGATTTTCTACTAATATACATAATCAAATTAATATGTATAAAATGTTATTGAATTCCTATCAATGTGAATTTCTAAAATATCAACTTTTTATAATGTTTACTAATAATACATAATTAAATATAATTACAGTCAAAGTTATGCGTTGGCAAACGTGAAAGTCAAACTGTTGCAAGAATTAAAGAACGGAGGATAGCATATAACAAATCACTTCTTTTTTTATTTTATCTTGTGTATGAGTATTAATGTATAATCTCGCTGTTCAACTTTATTTATCGTAGAATGATAAAAAAAAAATCAGAATGTAATTTTTAATCTTGCATATTGAGACCATCCCGGTACCCACTCCCGACCCCGATAGTATTAGTCCAGGACCTGTTGGCCAGTTTGTGATCCCGGGTAAATAATTAGCCAAATCAAGTGTTATTCTGTAACCAGATCTATGTGACGATATTAGACAACATAAAAGTACATAAAATCCTTGGTGATGAGAAGAAACAATTGCAGAGAATTAATGTACAATGAATGAATTAAGACTTCATGAAAATCCATGATTTTAGAAGTAAATAAGAATGAACGAAAATTTGAATACGTGTATACTTTTGTAGATTTTTAAAAGTCTATATTGAATACACTTTAGATTTTTTTTTTGCGTTTTAAACTCTACACTGAATATAAATCCATAGACATTTAAAATCCATAGACTTTTTTATTAAAAAAAGGGAAAAGGGGCCAAAAAACCTGGAGTTGTCACTAAAGGGTGCATATTCCCTTAAACTATTTTTTTTCTGTAAAAAATCTATAAAATATCTAAAAGAAGGGCAATTGCCCCCTTTTGTTTAACGGTGAACTAAAACATTCATCTGCCGTTAGAATAACATGGGCTGCTTTTAATATAAATTAATAAAAGTGGGGCAATCTGCAAAAAACGTAGAGTTTATACCCTAAATTGATTACCGCCGATTTGCTTTTCGTAACTAAACTCCTTCGATTGCGGGCATCTCTCTGCAACTCAAACTGAAGTTCAGGTTAAGCCACCTGATTGCCGACATCTCTCTGCAACTTATATTGAAGCTCATGTTAAGTCGCCTTCCTCTTCTCTCTGCAACTAACTAAGCTGCCTGTCTCTTCTCAGTTCATTAAATCTTGTGGGAATAGCTTGTAAATTTCATTGTAAGAAGCTCAGGTTGGAACACATCATCTCTTTTCCTTTTAAATATCCAATATATACAAACTTTAGTTCATATTTCATATTTTTCTTTATTGTATGTAAATTATATATGTGTCGTATGTGTATTTGCTTATTATGTAGCTTATATTTATTATCTTCTTTTTATACTTTTGTTCAAAGTTTACCATCTGTTTTTTTATATGTAGTATAACTTAGAGCTTTTAGTAATTAATTGATTTTTTTTCATTTTATAGAGATGGTCCATATCATATGCAACAATGAACTTGTGATAATTTAAATTGTCTTTTTCTCTTAATGTTTAATTGGTCTCTTAGGTATTCTGTAGTTTTTTTATTCTTAATGGCTCTCTTAGGTATTCTGCAATAGAAATTAGGTGTTCTGCAATTCCTAGTTCTTAATGGTTCTCCAGAGTCATCATTATTAAAATCGATATGTTGAATTAAAACTTGGGTTATCTCTTTTCCCGATAAATTAGCTACTCTCTTGCAAAAATAAGCAAATTGTTAGATTTTGGAACACCACTTTAGATGTAATCCAATTCATCTACCTTCATTCTGTGACAAATAATAAAAAAAAAATCACTATAAAAGATCTATGTTAGAATTAGAAGATAAAATTGCAGAAAACTAACAAGAAAAATTTTCATACCTTAAAATCCAACAGTTTGCTTAGGTGTGACTATGGGACTTCCCAATGCCTCTGAATTGCTTGTAGCCTAAATTTAAGACTCAACCATATCCAGATTCTGTGACAAATTTTTGATTATTTGTCACAGAATGAAGGTAGATGAATTGGATTACATCTAAAGTGGTGTTCCAACCGACTATGTTAATTAGTGATATAGAAGATGATAATGAAAGTGAACTGCAAGAAGTCAGTAGTGATGAAGAATCTGGGGGAAAAGAAAGCTCTATAGAGGGTAATGAAATACTTCATGACAAACATAGTTGTGGGGCAGAAAGTGGGGAAATACATTTTATGTTAGGAATGACATTTGCTAATGCAAAAGAAGCTAGAAGTGTTATAGCTAACTATTCTGTCAAAATAAACCCGAATGAACCTCAAAGTATTAGGGCGAGATGTGTGAATGAAGTAAGTTGTCCGTCCATTCAACTTATACATATCTAAAGATGGAAAAAAATCTTGGTTTAGCTATGAAGACATTGATCAATGAACATAAGTGTTTTAGACATTATTCCCTAAGTACTGCTTCAACAAGTTGGTTGGCCAAGTATTTTAAGGACACAATTTACAAAATCCAAAGTATACTGCTCAAATGATGAAACATGATGCAGAAAAGTAATTGAAGATCAATGTAGCTATTGACAAATGTAAAAGGACGAAAAGACAAGTTATTCAAGAGTTGGATGGATCATTTAAAGTGGAATTTAGCTATCTTGCAGCTTATGTTGCTTCTCTTAAAAGAACTAATCCAGGCACAAAGGCTGAGATTGATTTAGACAAAGAAGCTTTGAAAGAAGGAAGGAGAGTGCTCAGAAGGATGTTTATATGCTTCGAATCATGCAAAAGAAATTGGCCGAATGGGTGTAGACCTCTAATAGGACTTGATGGTGCTTCTTAAAAGGAGTTACTAAAGGTCAATTATTAGCAGTTGTTGGTGTGGATGGTAATGATCAGATGGTTCCAATAGTTTGGGCAATGGTAGATAAAGAAAATAAAAATAATTGGAAGTGGTTTTCATGTTGGCTAGCACAGGAGCTTGATTTGGATGATGGTTCTAGATTAACATTGATCTCAGATATGCAGAAGGTAATTTAAGATTTTATTATTATTTATATTTAAATTTATTGTTCCCTGTTACATGTTGACTAATAACGTTTCAAACTTCTTTAGGGTTTACTTGGATCTATACGGTTGATGGTTCCCCAAGCTGAACTTAGGTGGTGCGCTAGACACGTTAAGGCAAACTGGTCCAAGAAATGGAATGGCGGTGAGTTGAAGAAAAAAGGTCTGGATATGTGCATGGAGCACATTTGAAGAGGAATTCAAGGAAAATTTAGAAAAAATGGGGAAAGTAAGTGTTGATTAATAAATAATTATATATATTAAATTAAGTAGAAGCTTTTATTACTAAATAATGTCATTTTCTTTTTTTAGTTGAGTAAGAAAGTTGCAGAATCCCTGTTATGGTACCCTCCTTCGAGGTGGTGCAAAGCCTATTTTAATAGGTGATGTCATTCACACGTGGTAGACAATAACACAAGAGGGAATCTTTCAATTCATGGATATTAGAACCCGACACAAGCCTATCATAAGCATGCTTGAAGAAATTAGAACCAAAGCTATGATAAGGACAAGAGAGAATAAGAACTTGTCAGATAAGTGGTTTAATAATTGGTCACCCAAATCCATGGAGTTTTTGCAGGGCAATAAAGAGCTTGATGTGGGGTGCAGGAATTTAATGGTGATTCAGGTTACAAGATAGGGGAAGGTGATACTAAGAACACATTTTTTTAAACAAACAACAATGCACATGTAGAGGCCGAGTGGGATCTTACAGGAATTTCATGTCCACGTGCACTATGTGCTTCATATCATAGCAAGATTGATCCATTGTAATGATTGCAGATTGGTATAGCAAGAAAAGGTACTTGGCTGCTTACCATTTTCATATGCAGCCTATTCTCGGAAAGATGTTCATGCAGTGTGATCAATATGAAGCTATCGAGCCTCCAAATATTGTTAAGATGGCTAGTAGACCACGACACAAAAGAATTAAAGCTTCTAATGAGCGTAATCCAAATCCAACAAAATTGAGCAGGAAAAAGATTATACAAACATGCAGCTTATGCACTCTTTTAGGTCACAATAGGACCACTTGCCCAAATGGGAGCAACCAAGTAATAACTACTTGTTTATACTTGTTTATACTTGACTGGCGTTTATTTATCATATTTTGGTTGTTTACATTTTATTTACGTTTAGGTACCACCACAAGGAAAAACACCAAGAACTAGACCCACAAGTTCAACCAACCCTGAATCTGCTACGGTTAGACCTGTAGCTTTAGTTCTAAAAAGTCATAATGCGACCACTTATGTACATGCAAATGAATCTTTGAACATACCTAGTTCTTACACACTAGTAGACTCAATGGGATTTGGTTGCTTTCTGGGTGAAATTACTGGCAGAACAGTGCTCAATGTACACTGCTACCATAATTATTGAACTTGTAAATTTTTTATATTTTGTGTTATACCTAAATATTTTATTTACTACCTTTATTTATTTTGCAGCCTTGTTTGGAGTCTGAGACAATTATTGCAAAATGTGCGTCACAAATGGGGATCAATCCTAATGCTCAGACCAAAATGGTGATACCGTGTGAAAGAACATTGCGCAAAAAACTCCCTTTTAAAAGAGCATGTGAGATCACAAGGAATATTCGATTTTGTGGAGATGGATAGTATGTTAGAGAACCCTCAACACTCCCTTTCTAGTCTTCCGGTTTGAATTGGGAAGGAAATCCCGCGATTACAACAAGACAACTTCAATCACACCGAGATAAAGTTGTCAACTAGCATGATGGATGGGGGACATACTTTATGGATAACACATGTTGAATGCTAGATTATTTGTTGCACTAAGGATGTTTTTACTTGGACTGTAATTTGCCCCGGACCAGTCCAGTCCAGACCAGTTCAGACCAGACCAGACTTGGATAGTTATAAAAATACAAAGAAACCAGACCTTACCAGACCTTACCAGACCAAACCAGACCAGTTCAGACCAGTTCAGACCAGACCAGACCAGCAAATTACAGTCCAAGTAAAAACATCCTAACCGAGCATATTGTTGCTACAATTTTTTTTATCAGTCATCACTTACTGATATGATTTAGAAACACATAGCTATAATTCACTTTTTGACAAAGGTGTTAATTTTGTGAGGCCAACGAATATTCTATGGATGAATATATATGTATTGATTTTAGGACTAATATGTTCTAGATTTTACTTTTACAAAGCACAAGCTGAAATATATGTCCTGAAATTACTCAAAAACACTAACATATATGTTATATACGGTCCGTCAAATAGGTGACTTTAACGGTTTTCAGTTAAATTAAATCTATTAATTAAAGGGGGTGTTTGCCCTTCTTTCAAATTTTTTTTAAAGATTTTTGCACAAAAAATAGTTTAAGGGCATATTTGCTCTTTAGTGACAACTTCAAGGGGGGTTTTGCCCCTTTTCCAAAATAAAAAAATCATAGATTTTAGAAAAGATTGACAAGAATAATCCCACCTTTCACTGATCTTCTCATAATAATCCCACATTTTAGTAATCCCAAATTAATTTCACCTTTACATCTCATCTTCTTTCATTGGACTCTGATATGTTGTTGACCTACTACACCAGGGTTTTTACCCATTCTTTAAAAATCTTATATAAATAATCACACCTTTCACAAATCTGCTCAATACGGTCTCATGTTCATTTTTTCTTTTTTCTCCCTAAATTTTTTATTTCTTTATGATTATCCCTAAACACTTTTTATTGCTTTTTCTACCCTTTTGTTCTTATTTCTTTTCCATTTTTATGATTCTATTTCTCACTGTATTAAAATAGTTTTTTTATTGTAAAATTTCCAGATAGTTCTTTGTTTTTTTTATTTCATTTCCCCCTTTATGTTTTTCTTCTTAATCACTCCGTTATTATTATATCTTTTTTCCCACTCTAGTTTTTGTTAAATTTTCATTTTTTTTTTCATTTTTCTCCTTTTATTCTTGTTACTATATTTATGTTTTTTCTTTTTTCTTCTTTTCTTTTTCTTGTTATCTTAATTGCACTGCAATATGTTTTTTCTCCTTTCTTCATTAAGATAACAAAGTAACAAGACGAAAAAAATGGAAAAGTGAAAATAAAAAGAAAACTAACAAAATGTAGAGTGGGAAAAAGATCTTTAATAAGAAGAGAATGATCAAGAAGAGAAATATAAAAAGGAAAATGAAATAAAAAATACGGGAATAAAAAGAAAATGACAAAAAGATTTATTCAGGAAGGAAATTTTACAAAAAAATTCCTAATAGAATAAGAAATAAAATAATAAAAATGAAAAAGAAATAAGAAAAAAAATGATAAACTAGACCAGTAAATTACAGTCTAAGTAAAAACATCCTTATTCCGTATATTTTAATTAGGAAAAAATAAATTCGATCCTAATGAATTCCAAACTTTATCTTAGTTAGGAAAAAATAAATTGGATCCTAATGAATTCCAAACTCCAAACTCAAAACCGTCACGATTTGTCAATATTCACAGAACTTGTGTGACAAAAACCTACACAGTACAACCCTAGACACACACCACCCCCAGCTCTCTCTCCTACACACTCCCTGACATCCACTCCCCACGCTGCGCCGCCGCCGTCCATGGCCTCCGGCTTAGCTGCCGCCGTTTGATTGTTTTCGCCATTGAAACGGCCTTGATTTTCTGTGACCAGTGCTAACGCCTTTCTCTTCCGCATTGAAATAGGATCAGTCATTCTCAGTAATCAGACCTTAACTTAGAGCTCACTGAGAATGACGGAGTCTGAGTTTTCCGTTGATGATCACCAAGCTGACATTGGACCTCCCAAGTCGCACTGGAAGACGCCGCCTCAGGCTACAGGTGAGATTTCGTCACCGGCAGCGGCAGCGGATTCTGATTCCTGGCCCGCGCTTTCAGATGCTAAGCAGCGGCTCAAGGGTAACAACTCTGGTTCTAGTTCCTCCAAGTCGTTGCCTCCGGCGAGTGAAAGGAAGACAGCTGACGCTTCTCCACCTCCACCTCCTGTTCCGGTAGGTTTAAATTTCTCTTGATTATTACGGAGTATCTTAAAATATGATCTGTTAATCTTTGCTATGCATGTCATCCTATGTACTCTTGCGATCTTAATGTGTGATATCTACTCCCATCCACTGTTGTGAATTTGATCACTATATGTACGGCTAGATCAAATTCAACTGTAGAATTGGTTGTATCTACATCAGTAGAAGAATTGTTTCAATTTTTTATTGACTTTCTCTGTGGGGTGCCTTATTTAACAGGGCTCTGTTGAGAACAGGAAGTTTCAGGGTCACGCCAATGGTAAACATTCACACAGGCAGTTTTCTGCACGTCAACCAAAAGCAGGGCCAAGACACAGGCCAAATGGTGCACCCCCGTTTCCAGTTCCTATAACATATCATCAACCAGGGTTTCATCCAGTCTATCCTCCCATGGTATCTGTTCCACACTTTCAAGTCCCAGGGTATGCTTACCAGCATCATGTCCGAGGCTCTTTTCCAATTAGTGAAGGTCATATGGTTAAGCCTGGTTCCAATATTGCAACTCAGGTCTTTGTTCCACCAGGAAAAGGTAGTAGCCTTGAGTCCCCATTACTAGGTGATCAGAACCCCCATGATCCCAAATCATTCATGGGAAGACCAAATAAGCATGAACACAGTGTGCAATCCAAATCAGCATCGCCTAATTTGCCTCCAATTGCGTCCAAAGACAACATTCAGCCACAACCAAGCATGGCTCATAGGCCATTCATGAGACCTCCATTTTACAGTCCAGCTCCTTCATTTGTTGATGGAGCTAATTTTCAGGGTAAACTGATACTGTTTAGGTGCATTTGGAAGTGGGCACTTCTATGGACTTGCTGATTGTTATGGAATTATTATTGCATGATGTTATAAAAATGCCTTTTTTATATTTCCTGTAGGACCTCCGGGAGCTATATATTATCTTCACCATCCACCTCCCATTGGTGTCAGAGTGCCTTACCCACCTCACTTTCTCCCGCCTCCAATCCCTGGAACTCGGATGCCACCTTCTCCAATATCAACTTTGAAAGCTAGTATAGTAAAGCAAATTGAGTACTATTTCAGGTGAATTGTTATTAATATTATATTTTCATTATTTTTATAAAAATGCTTTGTATTGTTATAGTTATACTCTGTATGTCCTAAAATGTTCTTCCCACTCCCATGATGAGCCATCACAAGAGTTTTTAATAAAAAGTTTAAAAAGAGAAAATGAAGAACACATTATGTGCCATGAGCATATAAATACAATAAAATAAGCCTCGTTGGGCTTGGATGTCTGTTGCAAGTTTTAAGTTTTTTTTCCAAAACAACAATCAGATTTCAAAAACCAGAAATAATTGTTTTCAGTTTTAAGTTGGCAGCTTTCAAACGTGATGTGATTAGTATAAGACTACTTCATTTGGTTTATAATACTTCTTGTATCATGTAACTTGTAAAATTATAAAACAAGAAACTGACTCTTGCTATCACCTGAGTCAGGCTTACACTTGATGTGTTGTTACTTGTAACCATATTTATGTCATTTGGCTTAGAACCACTTGTCTTTACATACATTCATGCATGCACACATGTATATTCAAGTTTGTATAATGTATGTGAGTGTGTGATTTTCTTACTATTGCTATATACCTTTCTTCAGAGTCAAAGTACTACTCTATTTGCACACTTTGCAACTGATGATTAAACTATTAACTACTTTTCTTATAATTCATTTCATTAAACCATTTAATTTAAAACTATTAGACTAAATGAAATTAGGAAACAATAATAAGACACTCGTACCTTTAAAAGTTACTAAAAATAAAAGCAATTAAATATCATGGAAAAGCAAACCAGCATTGATATCTTTTAAACCAATGCATTGTATGCAAAAAGGTCAAATGAGTGAAATGTTGATCCATGATTTTTTTTGGTGGTGGTGTGGAACACAATCCAATAAGTAACATTTGGTTAGTGAAATTTTAATCCATGAGTTTGTTAATCCAATTGATGGAAGGGGCTAGAGTTTGTGAGTTCCATGGCTTCAATGTTTTTTGCTCACTTATCATTATAGTGTAATTCTTAACTCTTAAGGAGTGATACTGATATTTGTAATTAGGATTAGAGGATAAAAAATAGATTTTAAAGTAGAAAATTAACTATTTAGCCTAAACTTGGATGGAAGTAGTCTTGTTTGTGTAGTTCAGTATAGCGTGATGCATCTGGAATGGGAATTCTTGGTAAAAATTTCACTTTTGTTATCTGCTATTGTTGCTATTGCTGGTGAATCTATTTCCCCATACTATCCAATTTTTTTAACGATATAATTTTTATACATTATACATGTATGACATGCAGAGTGTTGTGACTCATTGTCTAATTTTTTATACCTTTTGGCAGTGATGCAAATTTGCAGAGTGACCACTACTTGCTCTCTTTAATGGACAACCACGGCTGGGTACCAATTTCTATTATTGCGGACTTTAAAAGAGTATGTTGTGTTCACTTCATATCTGTTTTTACTGGAGCTATTATTTGCTTTCTTTTGTATTTATTTGCTTAGCTAATTGTACTTGTAACCTCTATGCTATGATTTTCTACACTTGCATCTCCTTGTTTTGATTGATTGACATAGAAAGCTGCAGTCTCTAACATATTGTTCATTCATGTTTCAGGTTAAGAGCATGAGTACTGATATACCATTTATCCTGGATGCCTTGCAGGGTTCAAGTTCAGTTGAAGTTCAGGTTAAATTGGTTTTTACCGTCTTTTGGCATGTATTGAGATTTTGACACATTTCTTTTCTCACTTTCAATGCTAAACTTCTCTATCACACACATCATTCCCTTCATTCCATGCATTATTTCTACAGGGTGACAAGGTGAGGAGACGTGATGAGTGGTTCAAATACATCCGAGCTACTCCTGATCAGAAGTCATCCCCTCCAGTTCCGACTCCCCAGGAGCAATCTAGGGAACAGGCTGTCTGTGATTTGAAGAAAAATGAGCCTAATGAACAAACACAAGACAACCTTGTTATGAATACTTCACTCGATAATGGAGTACCATTTGAACCACCATCAGTAGTTGTCCAAGAACAAAATGTCCTGGTTGGTAATGGTACAGTGGATATGGGAAAGATGACACAACTTCTTGATGTAGTATCTCATGCACAAAGTGGTGATATTACCTCAC